AGAAGTAATGCCTGAGATGGAAGCAGAAAAGATGACGTGGAGATATGGAGCAGCTGGGGACTTTAGACCCAGAGATGGAGAGGGGTTGTGTGCTGATGACCTGGGGGGTGGGGGGGCAGGCTTCTAGTGTATACCATTTGGTTGGTTGATGATGCATTGAGGGGATTGTAACCATGGCAATGAAATGTAAAATTAATGTTCTCCCATGTAAACTATCACATAATTCACAATAAAACTTTAAAAAAATAGTAGTAAGCAGGGTGTGGGACTGGGTGCACCAGAAAGAAGGGGACCTTTTCCTAATTTTGGCAGGGAGTTTCTTTTTTATAAGAAACCCTACCTGCTCTTTTGTGGCAAACTGCTGAAGGCAGCATTGCTACCAAATGGAATTAATATGTCTGGTTGATGATGGTACAACAACAGTGTGTTCCCAAATTAGATTCCATCCATCAAAGCCAAAAAATGTGGTAGTCTCACTTAAAATACCCTACTTTTTAATTTAAAAATTGGATGCATTTCCACCTCTTTAAATGGTTTTGAGAGTAGGGGTGATCAAATAACGAGGAGGATACGATCAAGAGGAATTTAATTGGTGATAAGTTGTCAGAGAACTTTACGCAGTCTTATTTTATTGGATTTGCCTAACTGAGAAAATAACTACTAAAGACCAAGAAACATACAGTAAATTTTATTGTTTGGCACTGTAAAGTGGTTCAAGGTCATTTTTCAGTGCTACTGCATAAAACATACACTTTAGAAAACTTACAAAAATGCTTAAGAAAAATATTTCCAACAGGATAGGATTAATCCTCTTTTACCGGCCAACCCTAAAAAATATATCCCAAATGAACTTTTCTTAAGTTTTCACTTCTTAATCTTATTGACATTTGTTTTGTGTATAGCCAATCTATACATGAAGTCCTGGTGTGGTGTGGTGAGGATAAGTAAGCACTGGACTGCAAAGTCGGTTTAAACCTCAAGGTCATTGGTTCAAACTTACCAGCTGCTCCTCAGAAACCGTATATAGGGTCACTATGAGTGGGAACCAACTTTACAGTACTTAACAACAACAATAGCAATCTGCATATACGTTGAGCCACGATAATTATTTTACTGCCACAACCTTTGTAAAAAGGCTATGAAGTTTAAAAGTATATTTTGTAGCAAGAATGCGTAATATTTGTAAATACTAAGGAACAAGCTTACCCTCTCACCCACCCCACAACCCTCCACCTTCCCTAGTCAAACTTGGGCTGCTCATTGCTCAGTTGTTAAAGTGAAAGCTCCCAGTTTTTGTTGAATCACTTATATGGTACTGAGCAGGCTCACAGGGTCTCACTCCCCACATAAGCAAGTATGTATTTGTTCTCTGGGCGTAAGTCATTTCATCAGTCTGTCTATTTCCTCAGTATTCACTTATAGGGGTCTACTCTCTGGACTTGAGCATGACTTAGAGTGATTGTTGGGATTTAGAGGCAGAGCTGACCACTTCTTAAAAATTAGTGTTTAACTCCCTTCTGGATTTTCCATAACTTGATGTATGGGTTTGTTGTAACTAGAATAAGTAACCATGCTTGTATTTTGCCAGGGGTGGGGCAGTACAGGTAAAGAATTAAAGCTTTTTCTAGAAGGGTCTCTTCTCATGGCACCTTCATTTTAGGAAGAAGGAAGGAAAGACTACAGAAGCAGAGCTGATGAAACTCATAAAGCTAATAACCACTAGTGTCATGTGTCAGGCTCCACTGCTACTCTTTATTAAATACCTATTTGACAAATCTAAATGTTCTTGAACTCTTAGAATGTGAATTTTCCTGGGTGTTCTGCTTTTCCTTTCCTGTTTTTCCTGCCTTTGGTGTCCCTTAGCCTTTCTCGTTATCTGCTGCATGAAGTTTGTTCCCTTACTCTCAAAAGGCATGTGTGTGATGCAACAGAAAATTCTACCCTGTGTTTTTAAATACTGTAAAAAAAGGAGCTAAAAATGCCCCTCCCCCAAAAAAAATTTAAAAAAAAAATAGAGACCGGAAATTATCATCCATTGAATTATAAAAAGTGGAGACTATTCAGTATCATTCTGAAGAGCAACTCGATGTGTTAAAAGAGTGCTGAACAAGGTCAAAAGACCTAGGTTCAAAAGCCTTAAGATTTTTCACTTTTAGCTGTACAGCCTTGAACAAGTTAATTCTCTCAGAGCTTAAATTTTTTAACCTGTGAAATAGAAATCGAATACCTGCGTTACCCACCAAAGTAAGTTGTGGCACCAATGTACTTAAATTTGTAAAAAAAAAAAAAAAAAGTTCCTGGTAAACAGAAGGTGTGTTTGATGGATTAGAACTGGTCTATAGAATTAAAAATGATTTCTGTGATTATTAATAGTTAATACAATTGTATAAAAATTTGCTTATGTAAATTTAGTTGGCCCTTCCTTTCATAAGATTCAGTTTTAATTTTTCTCCTTTTTTTTATTTCTTCTGTCTCGCGAACTTGTTGACCTTGAGTGATAATGTCAGCTTCTTTTTTGTACAACGTTGTGAACTTCAGCTTCTAGGAGCCTACATTGATGTTCTGTGCCATCACAAAGCCAGGTCCGGAAATACAGACTTGAACCTCATTTGAAAAAAACGTAATTTTGTGCATTAATGGCAAGGAGAAGTTTTTTTCTATTGGCATAAAACAAGGCTCACTGCCAATAATGAAAGAAATACTAGAAAAAAGTTCCCTTGGCAATAACTTCCTGCAGAAAATTTGATCCGACCTTCAACTGCTGGGTAAACTACTTTCATTTTTAAGATGTATTCAGCAACCACGTTGATATCTTGGTCACCTAGAAAAACACATAAGTATTTTAACCACAGAAATGTAATTTTTAACGAACAATTTGGGATGGGGAGAAACACACTAATGCACTTCTCTAAATTCCCATGTACTTATAGAAGGGAAGCTATTCCTTTCAGACACAGGGGGAAAGTATCATAGAAGACAAGAACAGTGGTGATGATAGTGTAAAGAATTTGATTGCCTTTTCATGTTCCAGGTGTGAAATGTGCCCATTATTCACTACTGAATAATTGATGTCAAGTTGAGTACTTCATTTTTTCTGTATAAATCAGATTTTTTTAAAGTAAATGATCCGAATGAAAATTTTCAAGCAGCAGCTTGAGAAGATAAAGTAAATTATAATGAAATGTGCAAAGACTGGAGTTAGAAAACCAAAAGGGAAGAGCACACTCAGTATTTCTGAAGCTGAAAAAACTAGAGAAAAAATTCAATCCTTGAGTTGCAATATTGAAGGATTCTTTGACAAATGGACTTCTGGTGTGGCACTATAGAATAAACACTGGACTGTGAACCACAAAGTCAGTTTAAACTCAAGCGGTTGCTCTTTGGAAACCCTATACAGGGTTGCTATGCGTTGGAACCGACTCAAAAGCACTTAACAACCACAACAATGGGCAAAATATTGAATTATACAGGAAGCATCAAAAGAAGATGAAAGATATACATATGCAGAGTCACTGTATCAAAAACAATTGGACATTTTTCAACCATTTCAAGAGGTAGCACATGAATAAAAACTTAACAGTATCGAAGAAGTTCAAGCTACGCTGAAGACACTGGCAAAAAAACAAGCCTACAAGAGTTAACAAATTACAATAGAAATGTTTCAGCAAACTGATGTAGCACTACGTCAAGAAATGGGGAAGGCAGCGACCTGGCCATCTGACTGGAAAAGAACCATATTAGGACTCATTCCAAGGAAAGGTGACTCAACAGAATGCAGAAATCACTGAACAATAGTACTACTATAACCAAAATTCAGTAAAATTTTGCTGAAGATAAATCCAAAACAGTTGTAGCACTATGTAGACAAGGAGTTGCCAGAAATGAAAGCCAGATTTAGTAGAGGACATGGAACTAAGGATATCATTGTTGCTGTCAGATGGATCTTGGCTCAAAGCAGAGAATACCAGAAAGATATTTGTTGTTGTTATTAAGTACCTTCGAGTCAGTTTCAACCCAGAGCATCCCTGTGTAGGGTTTCTGAGGCGTGGCTGGAGGGTTTGAACTGCCAACCTTGTGATTAGCAATTTAGTGTTTATCTTACAGTGGCACACCAAGACTGATATTTACTTGTACTGTACTGACTATGCAAAAGGATCTGACTGTTTGGATCATAATAAACTATGGATAACATTGCCAAGTATAAGAATTCCTCAACAATTATGCTCAAGTGGAGCCTATACACAGACCAAAAAACAGTCCTTTGAAGAGAATAAGGGGATACTGACTGTTTCAATCAAGAAACATGTGCATCTGGGCTGTGTCCTTCCACCGTGTTTATTCAGTCTGTGAACATATCCAAGAAAGTGGATCATATAAAGAACATGGCATCAAGACTGGAGGATGACTCATTTACAACCTACAGTATGCAGACGACCTACCTTGCTTGTTAGAAGCAAAAAGGACTGAAAATATTTACTGACAAAGACCAAAAATGACAGTATGGATTGCACCTCAGTGGAAAGAAAACAAAAATACAACTGGATCAATAAAATAATAAACAGAGAAAATATTAAAGTTATCAAAGATTTCATTTTGCTTGAATCCACAATCAACACTCATGGAAACAGCAGTCAAGAAATCATATGATGTATTGCAAGTCAGTGACACAGAACATTTTAAAGTGTTAAAGAGCAAATATGTCCCTTTGAAGACTGAGTGAGGTGTGCCTGTCCCAAGACAAAGTATTTTCAGTTGCTCATATGCATGTGAAAGTTGGACAATGAATAAGGAAGACTGGAGAAGAATTGATGTATTTCAATTGTGGTGTTGGTGAAGAATATTAAAAGTACCATGGACTGCCAGAAGAACAAACAAATCTGTGTTGGAAGAAATACAGCTAGAGTGCTCCTTAGAAGCCGGATGGCAAGACATCATCTCTCATATTTTGGACATGTCAGGAGGGACCAGTCCCTAGAGAATGACATTGATAAAGTGTGGAGTGTCAGTGAAAAAGAAGAAACCCCCTAAGGATTGACACAGTGGCAGTAACAATAGGCTCAAACAATAATTGTGAGGATGGCACAGAAGCGGGAAGTGTTTCATTATGCAGTGCATACATAGTGTGGTTAAGAATTAGATGAGTAATAACAGCAAGACTTTTTTAAAGGTGCGCAGTACTCCAGAGAGCAATTCTTACGTAGGCACAAAACTGATTTATATCTTACAATTTAAACAGCTTGTGAAAATATTTTCCACCTGAAACTTTTTTCTCTGGGTTTGGACAGATGGGGTGTGTGTCAGAGGAGGAGCATGTACTCCCAAGTGCTCAGCTGCTGTTTCCCACCAAGTAAAGCAGGAGCAGAGTTAGCAATATTGGGGCAGGATCTCTCTCTGGCTTTGCCCTCATAGGTTCCCTAAGTAATTCACCTTTATGGCCCAGTCCTGTGATTGTTGAGTACCTCTGAGGTAACACAGAAGAAAACACTTGTGCTTACCAGAATCATGTTTGAGTAATTCATTTTTTATCATCTGGAATGAATCTCCACCACTGGCAAGGAAGCTTGGGAGGATCACCTTATATACTTCATCCATTTTGAGAGGCTCATAAATGGGCACTCGACATTTGGTGCAAAGAACATCTATGCTGACAACTCTATTCCCAGGTTTTTGTGAAAGATCGTATACCACATGAATTCCTAGAAACAAACAAAAATATTTTTATGTTTTCACTGGATCCAAAGAGATTTCTCTTAACTAACACAAAGGGGTTTGGGCCAAGATCTGGAATGGGCAGTGGGCTCACATTTTTATTTCTTTTGAGCTTGAGCAACGTTTGACCAGACAGCTGAGGTAACTCTGCAGCTACTCTTTGTTTTGATTAGATTTAACTTGAGTCCTTCTGGGAGTTCTGGAACAACTGGAAGGAAAACTATCTATGGAACAGGTGAGGGACAGCTCTGGAGGGAGGATGATCTTGTTTTCCTCTGTTAAAATTCTGAACTAAGTGGTTCAGTAACATGGTTTAATGGCTTTGAAAATTGAAAGTACATGACAGGCACAGAATATTTGTTAGAATTTTGAAGATGATTAAATAACAATAATTTGGGACTGACCGGCTTTCACTAGGCTTGCAGCTACCTCGTACTTTGCTGGAGCATCAAAGCAGTGTTGCCTTGACTTCCATCAGGAAAAATGCAGAACGCCAGGGCCCTTTGACTTTTCAGTCATTTCTGACAGTGAGATGTTCTATAGAGGGTGGACTTCAGGAGACACACCCAAGTGGGAACACATGTTCTATAGAGAGTGGACTTAAGTAGGCAAATCCACTGCACTCAGGTGAGAACATTATAACTGAAAAACTCGAGGACAGAATATGATTTCAAAGTAACATATTATTACTTGAAGGATTATTTCACTGTACTATCATGTTAAATATTGACAAAAGTTTTTCAGTGGCCCGTGGCACTTTGAGAAACACTTACTTGCATTATAACCTGTGTGGTAAGGGTAGTTTTCTTACTGCGACAAGCCAGGTTGAAGGCTTGTCCAGATCACTGTAGAAATGGAACTGGGAGCAGGTGTTCCAGTTTGTTCTACACAGCCCATTCCCAGAAATCATCCTTGTCAATACTGATTGGACACCACATTCCTCTGCATAGTTCCAGGCAATTACAAATAAAATGGGTAAGGGATTAAAAATGACTTCTGAATGCTTAGCTAAGATTTTAGTAGGCACTAGCCCTCAAGGCATCTGACCTGCTTGGAATGTACAGGCCCAGCTCCTGCAGAGCCCTCTGATGTCCACATCAGACCTGGCAAACAGCACTGGCACTCATTGCCAGGGCTTTGGAGGTTTGACTGACTGACTCAGTGGATCTGGAAGGCTGCAGCCTTTGAAGGCTATGCAATTGTCTTGGCTGAGAGCAAACCTGGCCATGGAGGTCCCTGCTGAGGGAGAACTGAGCCAACCAGCAGGTAGTCCTTCATCCAATGGACACGCTGGCCCTACAGCGCACGTGACTTACCGCCCACCTGCAGGAATTCTCCAGTGGACTGGCCATGGCGGTGGACGCTGTGCTCAAAGGCTTTCTTCAGGGTAGAGCCTTTCAACTGGACCAAGTCAAAGGTGCCTCCAAAGGGCAATACAGCAGCCAGGTTTTCCCAGGTAATTGTGCCTGAAGATAGTCACAAATTATGCAAGAAAGAAAACAGCTTGAGAAAATATTTACCTTAATTAAGCTCAGTTTCCTTGAGGGCTGAAGGAGGAGGTGATGGTAGATCAAAATCACAGTTATTCTTGGGTCCATTTAGACTCATGGCAGCCCTGGGTATGTCGGAGTAGAACTCTGCTCCATAGGGTTTTCATTGGCTGATTTTTTTGAAAGTATATTGTCAGGTTTTTCTTTTGAAGTATCTATGTGTGAACCTGAACCTCCAACCTTTTGGTTAACAGCCAAGCATGTGAACTGCAAATGAGGGGACTTTGAGAACAGCACCAGCTGTGGGCAAGTGGTTCCAGACAGTCAGGAGTGTTACAGTTGGGCTATGTGTCAACCTGGTTAGACCATGAAACTTGGTGCTTCAGTAGTTATGTAATGATGTCATTCTTCTCCATTTCATCCCCAAGATGTAATCAGCCAATCAGCTGAAATGGTGGTTTCCTGCCTCCAATATATATGGTCATCCTGGTAAAACTTGCTGGCTTTTGGTCATTTAGATCAGCAGTGGACAACTCTATTTCTGCCAAAATTTATAACATCATTCATGGGTCATACACAATTATCAACTTAAAATTAGCCTGCTATATTTGGTCAAACATTTAATTAACTCACCCCTAATGTGTTGGCTCTGAAGAACAGATTTGATACATTAAACACTAAAGACAGAAGACCAAAAGAGTTGTGGGATGACATCAAGAACATCATATATGAAGAAAGTAAAAACCCATTAAGTCAGTAAGAAAACGAGAAAGAAGGAAAAGGTCAAAATGGATGTCAGAAGAGACACTGAAACTTGCTCTCCAGCGTAGAGATGCTAAAGCAAATGGAAAAAAGTACGAGGTACAAGAGCTGAACAGAAAATTTCACAGATCAGCTCGAGAAGATAAAGCCAAATATTACAACAAAATGTGCAAAGATCTGGAGTCAGAAAACCAAGAAGGAAGAACACACTCAGCATTTCTCAAGCTGGGGGAACTGAAGAAAAAATTCAAGCCTCGACTTTTGTTACTGAAAGATTCTCTGGGCAAATTATTAATGGTGCAGAAAGCATCGAGACGATGGAAGGAATACACAGCGTCACTGTACCAGAAGGAAATGGTTAATGTCCAACCGTTTCAAGAGGTAGCATATGATCAAGAGCCAATGATACTGAAGGAAGAAGTCCAAGGTGCATTGAAGGAATTAATTGGCAAAGAACAAGGTACCAGGAATTGATGGAATAAAAATTGAAATCTTTCAAGAAAGTGAGGCGGCACAGGAGGCACTCACTCATCTCTGCCAAGAAATTTGGAAGACGACTATCTGTCCAACTGATTGGAAGAGATCCGTATTTGTTCCCATTCCAAAGAGAGGTGGACCCAACGGAATGCGGAAATCATCGGACAATCTCTTTGACATTCCATGCCGAAAGAACCAACAGAACTGTGTTGGAAGAAGTGCAGCCAGAGTGCTCCTTGGAGGCCAGGATGGCCAAACTTACTTTATCACACTTTGGACATATTGTCAGGAGGAACCAGTCGCTGGAGAAGGATATGTTTGGTAAGGAAGAGGGTAAGAAAAGAAGAGGAAGACCCCCAATGAGATGGATTGACCAAGTGGCAGCGTCGATGGATTCAAGTGTGGCAACAATAGTGAGGCTGGCCCAGGATCGGGCAGTGTTTCTTTCTGTTGTGCATAAGGTCGCTATGAATTGGTATCGTTTCGATGGCACCTAACAACAATGTGTTGGCTCTGGTGAATCCTGGTGTGGCGCTGTGGGTTAATGTGCTGGAATGCAAAGTTGGTTTGAAGTGCAAAGTTGGTAGTTCAAGCTCTCCAGCTGCTTCTTGGAAACCCTATACAGGGTCACTATGGGTTGGAACCGACTCAACAGCATGTAACAACAACGTGTTGGCTGGGAGTCCTGGAGTGGCACTGTAGGAAAAGCACTCAACCTCAAGTTGGGTTTGAACCACAAGGTTGGCGGTTCAAACTCACCAGCAGCTCCTCAGAAATCCTTTATAGGGTTGCTATGAGTTGGAACCAACTCGATGGAACTTAACAACAACAAGTGTGGGCTGGAGCTGCAGTTACCTTGGCAGGACCAGACCAAAGGATTTCGCGGATCTTATACAGCCCATGCCAGATGTTCCCCACCCCTGCTTTAAATACCGCATCTGTCTCATCATCATCTGACCTCTGATTCTTGGAACTTGAGCGAGTAACTTGTCCAACCTGCCAATCCAATCTTGTCTATGTGAGTCAGGAAAACCTCCAGCCTGACATCTGACCCACAGATTTGAGATTTGCCAATTTCAACAATCTTGTGAACCACTTCCTTGAGATGAAGCTCTCTCTTTGTGTGTGTATATATATATAATTCACTGGTTTTGCTTCTCTAGAGAACCAGACTAAGAAAGAGAGGTAATATAGTCAGTAGGCCTCCACCATTGGGCAAGATGGAGAGAGCTTATAAATGGTGTGGTCAGAAGTCAACTATGTTCTAACTCAGATCTCCTGGCTTGAAGCTGAATCTCCAGTGCATTCAGCATTGCTCATTTCCTCTAGACAGGCAGTGTGTCTTGGCCACCTGTCCCTGTTGTCTGATAATGAGATGAGCTTAGGCTTTAATTGATGTGGGCTTCAAGAGTGTCTTGAATATTTTACTAGCTGATTTCTATGACTTGATGAATCACTTTTATGCCCTTTTTTCCATAGTCTTATAACTCACACCACATGATTGGATAGTGGTGTTAGGCGCTCTCAAGTCGGTTTTGACTCACAGTGATCCTAAGCACAACAGAGCAAGACACTGCCCAGTCCTGCACCATCTTCACAACTGTTGTTGTGGTTGAGCCCATTGTTACTGCCACTGTATCACTATATATTAGATGTGGACCATATTTCTGAGGAAAGTACCCTTACAACTGATTGATCACATCAGATCACATCATGGAGGTGAATGCATTATATCACTAAATGGAGGATAACTACATCTAGTTGAGGGTCTTCCTATTTTTTGCTGATCCTCAGCTTAGAAGCCTGATGTTCTTCTCCAAGAACAGCATGTCCTTCTGAACAACAACATATCCAAACAGCAAGAGATGAAGTCTGGCCATTCTTGCTTCTAAGGAACTGCATTCTGGCTGTACTTCTTCCAAAACAGATTTCTTTTTCTTTTGGCAGTCTATAGTGCTTTCAATATTCTTTTCCAACACCATATTTCAAATACACTGATTTTTCTGCAGTCTTCCTTATTAATTGTGCAACTTTCACATGGATATATGGCAACTGAAAATATCATGACTTGCTTCAGGTGCACCTTAGTCTTCAAACTACTATCTCGGCTCTTGAACACTTCAAAGAAATCCTTTGCAGCAGATTTGGCTAAAGCAATGCGTTGCTTGGTTTCTTGACTGCTGCTTCCATGAGTGTTGGTAATGGAGCCAAGGAAGATGATGAAGTCTTTGGCAACTTCAACCTTTTCTCCATTTTTCATGATGTTATTTATTGGTTCAGTGGTAAAAATTTTTGTTTTCTTTATATTGAGGTGCAATACATACAGAAGGTTGTGGTCTCTGATCGTCATCAATAAGTATTTTAAGTCCTCTTCTCTTTCAGCATGCAAGGTTGTATCATCTGTGTGTTGCAGGTTGTTAGTCTTCCTCCAATTCTGATACCTTGTTTTTTATATAATCCAGTTTCTTGGGTTATTTGCTCAGCACACAGATTGAATAAGTATTGTGAAAGAATACAACCCTGCCACACACATTTTCTGATTTTAAACCATTCAGTATCCCTTTGTTCCATTTGAACAACTCCCTCTTGGTCTATGTAAAGGTTCCTCATGAGCACAATTAAATATTCTGGAATACCCATTATTCCTAATGTTATCCATAGTTTGCAATGATCCCCTTTGCATATAGTCAATAAAAAACAGGTAAACATTTTTCTGGTTTTCTCTGCTTTCAGCCAAGATCCATTTGACATCAACAATGATATCTCTCGTTCCACATCCATGTCTGAATCCAGCTTGAACCTCTGGAAGTTCCCTGATGCAGCTATTTTTGAATTATCTTCGGCAAAATTTAACTTGCATTTGATACTAATAATATTGTCCATTTTTTTCCTAGAAAGGTTTTGGTGATTGGTGCTTAAATTTGAATAATAGTGGTATTAACTGGTCTTCCTTGTAGGTGTATGGATAGTATCTGATCACAGACAGCATTCTGCTTTAAGTTGGATCTTGAAATGTTTTTGATGAATGTGATGCCATTCTTGGTATATTAAACCATATGATTATTAGATTCAAAATGGCCAATACTAGTCCATTTCAGCTCACTAATGCCTAGCATATCGATATTTGTGTTTCATTTCATTTTTTACTTCAAACATTCCTGGATTCATACTCCATACATTCCATGTTCCAGTTATTAATGGACGTTTACAGCTGTTTCTCCTCATTGTGTGTTGTGTCCCATCAGCAAATGAAGGCCAGGAAAGCTTTACTCCATTCTCATCATCACGGTCAACTCGACTTTGAGGAGGCAGCTCTTCCCCAGTCACATTTTCAGTGCCTTCCAAACTGAGGGGCTCATCTTCCGACAGTATATCTGACAATGCTCCACTGCCATTCATCAAGTTTTAGTGGCAAGTAGTCCACCTCTTCCTTCTTCATAATCTGTCTTAATCTTGAAGTGCTGCTGAAACCTGTTCACCATGGGTGTCCCTGCTGGGATTTAAAATACCAGTGGCATAGCTTCCAAAATTAGTAACATGCAAGCCACAGTACAACAAACTGACAGACAAGTGGTGGCTTGTGGAGTTTGTTGTTATTGTTACGTGCTATGGAGTTGGTTCCGACTCATAGCGACTTTGCACAGAGTTTCCGAGGCTATAAATTTTTATGGGAGCAGAAAGCCTCATCTTTCTCCTGCGGAGCAGCTGATAGTTTTGAACTGCTGACCCTGAGGTTCACAGCCCGATTCGTAACCACTATGCTACCAGAGGTAGAACCATGCAAATAAGGTGTAGGAACCCTGAATGAGGGGATTGGCCAATTTTGCTATCCCACTAGTCTTAAAATAAGCCATTCCAGAGGCAGTAAAGAGTGGACCTCACTACCACCAAGAAGAAGAGCCTGGAGGAGAGTACATGCTTTGGACTCACGGTCTCTGACCCAAAGACAGGGCGAGAGGGCTAACATCAGAGGCAGCACAAAACTGCAAGAAGTGGCAGAGAAATGGCAGCAGCAGACTCAGGAGACAGAATGATGGGCTCCTCAGTCCGTGGACTGAGAAAGCTGAGTGCCTTCAGGCAGGAGCCTTGTTGGTGATGTGGAGTGCCTCCAGGCTCCTGGATGAGGCTAGGCTTGCCAACCCATGGAGCTAGAGTTAGATGACTTGGGCTGAAGCTTATTGGCAGAGTGGGGTGCTTCTAGGCACTTACAGTGTGATCTAAAGAGCTTGTGACACTTACCCATGCAGGACAGAGGCAGGGCAAAGGGTCACAAGATAGGGCCACAGAGAAACTTGCCCATGGGCATGCTGAGAAGAGGCTGTCCAGATTGAAAACTGTATCATGAGTCATTCCTGGTCCTAAATTTTAGCCGGTTACTTTCCCAATAAACCCCTCAAATGTGAGCATAGTTTATGTGTTGTGTGGCCACTGCAACAAATGATTGAACCCAGAAGAGAAGTAGAGAGTGCTGTGGAAGGGATGGCTTGTGTCAAAATTGGTAAAAAGGTTGGAGACAGGAGTATACCTGACCTCTGCCTCACAGTAATTAAGTGTTGAGCTGTTGGTCTTCATTCTCTTTCCATCTTGTGAAGTTCGAGGAATTCAAGCTTCCCTGCCACACCATTTTTACAATGTCTTTTGCCGTCTGATAAAACCTTGAGTTTCTACAAATTCACTGTTGTTAGGATCCATCAAGCCGATTTCTACTCGTGGTGACCCATCATGACAAAATAGAACTGCCCTGTAGGTTTTTCTAGCAGTAATCTTTTAGAAGCGTATTGCCAGGTCTTTCTCCTTGGTGCTGCTGAGTGCTTTGTTCTTTATCCTTTCGGTTAGCAGCAGAGCATTTAAGCACTATGCCCCAAAGGCTTCTTGCAAATACAACTATACTAGAATAATATAGTCTAATCCAGTAGTATGTCTTTTCCAACACAGAAGTCTGGTGATTTTGTTTTTCTCCTCCCAGATGCCAAGGTGGAGGCTGTCAATCGTTTTCATAAATGATCCTCAGTTATTATGTGGCTTCCTGAATCAGGGATTTACATCAAGCTTGCAGTTCACTAGGTGTGACGCTGTACAGTAACTGCTCACCTCCAAGATCGGTGATTCAAACTCAACAGTTGCTCCTCGGAAACCCTGTACAGGGTAGCTATGAGTAGGCACTGACTGGCCAACATTTAACAACAATAGCAAAGTTGGTGCTGTAGGATAAACACTAGACTCCTAACCACAAGATTGGTGGTTCAAATCTACCAGCTGCTCCTTGGAAACCCTATACAAGGGTTGCTATGAGTTGGAGTTGACTCAATGCCACTTACCAATAACAAAACTGCTGTGTGAATATCTATGAGAGAACATAGGTAGGAGTGTTCCTTTAGGCACTGGGCTTGAATGGCAACTAACCCAAACTCAAAGAGCTGACACTGGTATATGGCTGACAGCAGAGATGAGCTGAGGTTACCCATGGACAAGAGCATGATCAGGGCCTGGGGCCTAATGAGAATGCAAGGCCAGGAAGGGAAAACAGTGAGCAAGGATCCCAAACCTGGTGAACATACCGTTGTTCTGCTCATCGATGGGTGATCGAATGCTGCCTCCATTGACAATGCACATGGACACGTGGTTCCAGGTCATTTCATCTGGGTGTCTAAGGTTGTTGTTAATCTGTAACAATTATACAAATTAATCATTCTGAGTTTTCTTCTCTAGGATTAGTTCTAAAAATGTAGTTTTATTGAATAAATGACCTTGGGTGGCACCAAGAGTCAAGCTCTTGGCTACTAACCAAAAGGTTGGAAGTCTGGTTCCACCCAGAAGTCCTGTGGAAGAAAAACCTGGTGATCTACTTTGGAAAAACGACAGCCATTAACAACACTATAGAATGCAGTTCTACTTTGACACACATGGGTTCACCAGGAGTTAGAAATAACTTGTTGGCAGCTGGGTATTTTTTTGTTTGTTTTACCCCTTTGGAGTAAATAAAGCTGTTTTTCTTCCTTTTCCTATATTCCCAGAGATTTTTTCAAGTATAATTAGTCAGAACTAGCTTTATGTTCTAAAAAGCACAAATATGACATTGTGACCAGTCTTGTATCAGACGGAATTGGCTGTGATATTCTGGCTCTTAGAAACAGCTTTTAGTTTCCTCTCTTAAGACCCGTGTATGCTCAGGCCAGTGCGTCTTAGGCAACGTCCACTCATGGTGGAACCTTGGTAGCTGGACTGAGCCTCCATGCTGAGTGGCCTACAGTGCTGCCCCTCCACAGGCACCCCAGGGCAGGTCATGTACCTCAGGACAGGACCCTAAAATCTGCTCCGTCCTAGACTTTGTACCAAACAAGAACCCTTAACTACATACCTGTGCCCTCAGCCAGTTCCCAAGCTGGCAATCTGGGGGGCAAAAACAGCTGCCTTAAACTGGAGAAGTTCAGGCTCATTCTTACTTTACTTTTATAAAAATAAATGTTTAGTTAAAAGAAATATATGAATACATTCTTTTAAAAATTTTTTAAAAAGAGGTGAAAAAAAAGTTTCCTTGCACTTGTCCCAGCCTTTTACAGAGAGGTAAGGCCTGTCAGAAGAAGCTCTGGTAGCGTTGTTGTTGTTGTTAAGTGCCTTCGAGTCGGTTCCGACCCATAGTGACCCTGTACAGGGTTTCCGAGGCTGTAAATCCTTACGGGAGTAGAAAGCCTCATCTTTCTCCCGCGGAGCGGCTGGTAGTTTCGAACCGCTGACCTTGTGGTTCGCAGCCCGATTCGTAACCACTACACTACCAGAGCTCTGCGAACCACAAGGTCAGCGGTTCGAAACTACCAGCCGCTCCGCGAGAGAAAGAGAAGGCTTTCTGCTCTCCCGTAAAGATTTACAGCCTCGGAAACCCTGTACAGGGTCGCTATGGGTCGGAACCGACTTCACGGCACATAACAACAAGGCCTGTCAGGAGCCTTACCTTTTTTTACACATTTACATGCTGGGCTCTCTTTAGCTCCCTCTCATACTGACTGCATGTGGCCAAGGAACAGGCATTGGTCTCACCCTGGAAAGCATGAATGTTGTCATTCACTAGGCCAACAGTTTCTGAGTGTGGCTGTATACCAGATACCATACTTGGTATCTGGTATACAACTGACAAAGTGGCTGTGGGATTTCAGCAAGTGAGAATGGTGAGTCTGACCTTGGAAACTTGGGCTCAGCATGGCCCCTAGGAGGCTACTGTGGCCAGCTTGCCCACATGACCAGAAGGGATTTGTGTGGATGATCTTGCTCTGCCACAAGACTTACTGTCATCATTATAGGTGCATGTCATAATTCTACACTTGTAAAGGAAGTTCCAGCCACACTAGGTCTAGGTTCTATGAAGCCAGTGGATAATCTGGTGAAAAATAATTGTTAGGCAGATGTGTTTTAGCTATTATGTCTACATTTTCAGGGCAGACGAATTTGTTATGCATTCTGATCATCTTACAAAAGAGAAGCAACATCTGAAATTCAGACATCTAAGATGAACATCTTAAAGTTTTTAGCTCTCTTAAAGCAATACAGTGAGGATTGCCTGGCCTAGTTCTAGCACCTTACCAAGACACCATTGTTAAGTGCCCTTGAGTCGGTTCCAACCCATAGCGACCTTGTATAGGTTTCCAAGGACTGGTTGGTAAGCTTGAACCACTGACCTTGCGGTTCAAACCGACCTCGTAGTCCAGCGCATTAACCCACAGAGCCACACCAGGAGTCCTTCCCAAGGCCCTGAGAACCACCAATTCTATAACCATCAGTTCATTCCACCTTGTGTCCTTCCTTCCTCCTTGGGTACAGGCCTGTTCCTGTGGATGACTTACCATAGCATCACAAATCAAATTGCCCATGTTGCATTCTTTAAAACGGCACGACTGAGTAGAGCCATCCAAGTAGACAATTGTTTTTCCCAATTCCTGGGCAGAATAATTATCTAATTTTATCCTCCATTTGTTAATGTCTGCCTTTATTTTTGGATCTAGGTAGGGGAGAGAAAAAAGGCTGCAGTTAAGGCAGATCTCATACTGGGCTAATTTCTAGAGAAGGAAAAAGAATTAAGCACCTGCTGTGGTACAGGTTTCTTTGCCGTATTTATTTGTGTGCATTTTGCATTTTGGATTTGAACTTCACATTTCCGTGGGAACCTCCATATCCTAACATTAACTCAGAACATCTATAGGAGCACCTGTGATCCAGCTGGCATAACATTAGTGACGTAGCAGCGGCGGCTGTATGCAGGGCTTGCCTGCGGGGCCATCACTGTCTGTGTTGTCCTGATCCCCACTCCTCCAGCAATTCAGAGTCCTGATCTGATCATGGAGCAGGTACAGAGGGAAGGGTAGATGTGTGTTCATGTATGTCGTATGAAAATGGATAACATAAAATTTACTTTTTAGTCAGATCCCAGACAAAAGAGTATAATAGACACTAACAGTCCAGATTCTTCATTTGATAAAGAAAGTAACAGAGCCTGTGGAGAAGACACACTGTTGCTAAGTGGTAGGACCAGGATTTGAGCTCTGCTTTGCCCAATGTGCATCCTTATGCTACAGTAACCAGCTCTCCTTTAAGCATGAGTTGAGTGACTGTCCCATGTTTGTAAAAGCTTGTAAAAGGCAGAAGCAGCAGTGATACAATGTCTGATGCTGAGGAGTCCTGGGAAGTATTGGAGCTTTGGGGCTTCTGGGTTTGTTTTCTGTCTCTTTGTCCATTAAGAGGGAAAAGCTAAGTTCTTCAGAAATTTTATAACCTTTTCCTGAAACATTATTTTTAAAAGGAGAAAATTCAGCCATGTAATTGTTGTATTGGTGGAACATATCCTGAATTTTACATACCTTCAGGAATGCTGCTATTTAGAAGAATGGGATTTCCATATGAAGCAATGACATTTCCTTTTTCATCAAACTCAACATTCAGATAGCCCAGGTATTTGCCAAAAGCATAGGCCTGGACCACAGGAACCTTCTGTCCATCTTCAGAGGTGACTATGAATGGGTACTTCCCAGCGGGCTCCTCTTTGGAAGGTGGAGTGCCTGAAAGAAAAGAGTTAATCAAGTCAGCCCTTGTATACACTGGCTACAGGCCAGCAGGCCATTGACTGGAAAACTGTGAATTTTAAACTGATGGTTGGCCAGCTGCTGCTGCACATAGTTGGTCTTTCAGATCACTGCCCAGGCAGTTGTCCATTTTCCAATGCCCTTTTGGCACATGAATTCTTCCTTTCTTAATTCAGCAGGCAATTACTAAGCTCCTCCTCAGTACAGGGCACTGTGCCTGGTGCTGTAGGGATGGAAAGGTACAAGACTACTATTATTATCCTATCCTCTCTCTAGCCTAACCTGGCTCCGTTTTTATAAGCAGGCTTGGTTAGCTCAGACACTTCACTTCACTATGCCTCAGTTTTCTCATATGTAAAATGGGCCAAAAAAAAAAAATTTCCTATTTTACAAGGCTGTTGAGAAGATTAGAGAATACTGAAATTGTCAAGGACTTCACTTTAGTCTGCAATCAATGACAATGGAAGCAGCAATGAAGAAATAAAATAGTGTATTACACAGGGTAAATCTACTTCAAAAGGCCTCTTCAAAGTGTTGAAAAACAAAGACGTCACCTAGACGACTAAGATGTGCCTAATACAAGCCATGGATTTTGTAATCATCTCATATGCATACAAAATCCAGGAAATGATTAAGGAAGATCAAAAAAAGACTGATGCATTTGAATTATGGTGTTGGTGAACAATATTGAATAACTGCTTAGAAAAAAATAAACTGTCTTGGAAAAAATATAACCAGAAGTGAGGATGGTCAAATGTCATGTCATGTTCTTTGGACATACTGTTAGGAGGGACCAGTCTCTGGAGTAGGACATCATGCTAATTAAAGTTGTTGTTGTTAAGCGCTGTCAGTTGATTCCAAGTCTTAGTGAACTTACGTAGGATTTCTGAGGAGCAGCGGGTGGGTTTGAACTTCTGACCTTGTGGTTCGAAGTAGAGAAAGACTCTCCATGCGATGGACTGACACAAGCTACAACAACGGGCTCACATGTAACAATTGTGTTGGTGGCCCAGGACCAGGCAGTATTTCGTTCTGCTATACATAGGGTTGATATGAGTCACAACTGACTTGACTGCATCTACAAACAAAAGTCTATAAACTACCTAATGTTAGTGTCTGGCACATAGTAGGTGCTCAATAAATGTATATGCCTTTCCCTTATGAAGTGATGATAACCTACAGAAAGCCCAAACACACACATAAATGAAGGAAATGACAAAAGAGCTGTACTCAGATTTTGTGCTAAATTTTGAGTCCCACCCCAGCCAGACCTCACATTAGTCAGGTTCTGCTGACCTCTGTCTCAGTGGGGGCTGCATATCACCTGGAGGTTGGGTGGTCTGCCACTGCCTCAAGGGCACATGCCTGGATGTGAGCCAGGAGTCTGGCCACACCGGAAGCATGGTGACGTTCTTTAATACCACAGCACTCTTCCTTTTGGCACACCACTGTTGACATTTCACCTCACAGAAACAGCAGTACAGCACGGGCTGTTGTGAATCAGAGCTCATGCACCAGATGCCCTTGATTCATTTGTTTCCACACTTCCCTCACTGCACCCATGACAGTCCTTGCTATTAGATATGTACAGAGGGCCCTGGCACTGTGGACGAGTTACAAGTTTCCCCAAGATCAGGTCTTGGGCTAAATTTCATTTGATTTTCCACTTATACCACGAAGCAAGTTTCATTCTTATCCCCACTTTACAGATGAGAAGACTGATGTTGTAGGCAATATGACCAAAGTCAAATAGCTGCCATGTGATGGAGATCAGACTGAAAAGCTGTGTGCCAATGGAGCTTATGTTCGTTCAATCTACGACACTACACAGCCCAGCATTGTGCTGAACTCATAAAGTCTGCCACAACAAAACGAGTCAATGCAAACTCAGGATCTGCAGCTGGACTTGAGTCCCAGGCTGCTGCTAGATTTCTTCCTTCAGGTAGATGAGTCAGCATGAAATGCTATGAAGATGAACCTATTTCTGATATTGTCCCTATTGTCATGAGCTCATTCCAGCTCAGCAATGATAGGACCAATTGCAAATACCAGCATTCACAAGCAGGAAATAACTGCTGATACCCTTAATTACTCATTTCTGGAAAAAGGAAAAAGAAAAACCAGTCTAGGAACTTTACTTTTACAAAAAAATACCCCATTCAAGATCCAATAAAAGTGTTGTCCCATCTCCATTTGCTGTGTAAGTGCTGTCACCTCAGGGTCACCCTATATGTGTTGACTGTGATAGTTACAAAGAAGGCTAATGCTCCAAGCATCCTCATTCTTTCTGTGACTGTTTTCCTTCCAGCAAGCCTGGAGTGTGGTCTTTACTTCAGAGAACAAGGGTATATGGCAGCCCCCCTCTCAGCTGGGAGGAGTCGTGGAGCTGTGGAATAAACATTGGACTGCTAACTGCAAGGTCAGCAGTTCAAATCCACCAGCCACTCCTTGGAAACCCCATACAGGATCGCTCTGAGCTGGAATTGACTCGATGACACTTAACAACAGCAACAACTCTCAGCTGGAGAGGTCTGGGGAAGGTGGTTCCGTGGCTGAGACCAGATGCTTAGGCAGGTGCAATTCCACATCTGTCCACAAGATAGCGCAGAATGTCCCCATCCAAGAGGAAAAAGCACTAATCAGATGTAGAAAAGGAGATTCTGAGAACCCCAAGAGAACAGCAAGCCTGACTTTTTAGGTTGGTTGTTTTTTAGCCCTTGTTTTTCTGCCGGTTACAGAAATATCTGCGCTAAAAGAGGATGTAAAAGTTAGGAATGTGGTGACAATCCTTATCAGATCAGCTAGCACTGGGCCAAGAGGAGCTAGCCATCCCAGAGATCCCACCCGTTGGACTGACTCTCCCCAACTCCACCCCAAGTTCTGAAATGCACAATGTTCTTTTTATTAGAACAAAAAGTGAGTTATCTGCATTTTAAACAAACTGAGTAAGGAACAGGGAAGATGCTTCTGATGTGGCTGATGTAATGGCAAGTTCAATTTGGAAAACATCTCTGACTCCCATAGACCGGGACCTCTGCTTCCCTGACTTCCCAACCCCAGAAAACCCCTGGCATATGAAACAATCCAAGGCGTCACCTTTCCCACACTATTGACGCTATCCAGCCAAAGATGTTCATTACCAAACATTCCCCTCACACAAACCCTCACGTCTGCTTAGGAAGTGAACTCATCGTTTCAGCAAGAAGAAATTGTTCACCAGAACTGAATTCCAGCCATCCATTAAATACACAATCCAGGAAACAAAACCAGAGACGCCATGGAGTTGTGGGGATATGTAGAGTTGGGGATGGGGCATTTCTTAGCAAGAGTGTGTATCTGAGGGGGACCTCCCCTTGTCTCCGAGCCAGTTCTTAGAATACCGTGGTCACAAGTGTCACCTGGACAGTTGCCCTCCCAGTGGCCAGAAGGGATGAGAGGGCAGATCAGGTGGTGAGAGACATGCCAGACAATAAGCCTTTGAAGTGGTTTCCAACAGACTGAATTCTAGAATATTTTAAGATTGTTCATGCTATAAGCAGCTTTGGTTGTGGTACAGGATAAGCACTGGATTGTGAACTGCAAGGTCAGTCAGAGGTTCAAACCAACCAGCTACTTTGAGGGTAGAAAATGAAGTTGTCTGCTCCTGTAAAGATTTAAAGTCTCAGAAAAGCTATATGGTGTCGCGATGAGTCAGAATTGTCTTGGTGGTAGTGGGCTTGGGCTTAGCTTGGTTCATGCTATGATTTTAATGTGTAATGGGACTGATTTAAGAACTTCTGAGTTGGGGCCCTTACTAAAATGACTGAGTAAAAATGGTTGGTAATTAGTTGCTATCTTAGTTTTTAGTGCTGTTATAAAACAAATACCATAAGTGGATGTCTTGAACAACTAAAACTGTATCCGCTCACAGTTTTTGTTGTTAAGTGCCGATGAGTTGGTTCTGAGTCATAGCAACCCTGTATAGGGTTTCCAAGGAGAGGCTGGTGAGTTTGAACCTCCAGTCTTGAGGTTCAAAGCAACTCTGCAGTTCAATTCTTATCTCACAGCACCACACCAGAACTAGTTTCACAGTTTAAGAAAATTGGAAATTATCGAAAATGAAATGGAATGCATAAACATAGGTATCCTAGACATTAGTGAGCTGAAATGGACTGGTATTGGCCATTTTGAATCTGACAATCACATGGTTTACTATGCCTGGAATGAAAAACTGAAAAGGAATGGTGGTGCATTCACCATCAAAAAGTACATAACAAGATCTGTCCTAAAGTATAACACTGTCTGTGACAGGATATTATCCATATGCCTACAAGGAAGACCAGTTAATACCACCATTATTCAAATGATTACCAAACACTAAAGCTAGTGATGAGGAAATTGAAGAATTCCACCAACTTCTTCACTCTGAAGTTGACCAAACATGCAATCAAGATGTATTGATCATTACTGGCAACTGGAATGCAAAGGTTGGAAACAAAGAGGAAGGATCATTAGTTGGAAAATATGGCCATGGTGATAGAAATGATGCTGGAGATTGCATGACAGAACTTTGCAAGACTAATGACTTTTTCACTGTAAATACCTTTTTTTAAACAACATAACAGACGACTGTACACATGGATCTCAACAGAAGGAAAACACAGAAATCAAATTTACTACATCTATGGGAAGACATGTTGGAAAAGCTCCATGTCACCAGCCAAAACAAGGCCAGTGGTAGACTGTGGAACAGACCGACCATCAATTGCTCTTATGAAAATTCAGGCTGAAGGTGAAGAAAATTAAAACAAGGCCATGAGAGCCAAAATATGACCTTGAATAAATATCACTTGAATTTAGAGATCATCTGAAGAACAGATTTGACACACTAAACACTAAAGACCAAAGACCAGAAGAGTTGTGGGATGACATCAAGACCATCATACAGAAAGAAAGCAAAAAGTCATTAAGAAGACAAGAAAGAAGGAAAAGATCAA